CAACACTAGATTTGCCATATTAATTCCTTTAGATAATCGACCATGCGGACGGACATAAAGCTGATCGCTGAAGCGACACTTGGTGATCCGTTTCTGCAATTTGAGGATAAATCCCTCAACTTTTGGATTTTCTAGTAAATCTTTTCATATAATTTCACCCTTTCGCAACATCAAAAATGCGAACATATTACGCGATTTAATTATGCTTCTTTGGGTTTTAGAACAACACATGTAAGCGAACAATTGTCTTCAATTAGATCGTCATCAGGCTTTACTCCAATATACATAAATATTTATACGAAAATATTAGACCATTCAAGGCTACTTGAGTCAATAATCACAATCAAAGTTACCTGAGTTGGCATCCTCTATGTGCATTTATGAATTCAGCTGCTCCTATGGAGATAGCTATATCGGGCGTACTACTAGACAACTTAACCAACGAATGAGTGAACATCTACCAGCACGATTTGGGAAGGGCCAAATAAAAACAATACTCAGTTCTATCTTGGCACATCTAATTGATAGTGGTCATATTGTAGATAAATTGGAATCATTTCAAGTGATCTATCGTATACCTCCCATCATTTCGTTCCCTTCTCTTTCATGTAGCAGAAGCCATAGGAATTCGTATATTCCATCCCAAATGATGTGTACAGAAGATATTCGTAATCCCCCAATCCCTTCCATGGCCGGACAAAACTTAACAAATGACATTATTATTATTTGTAGATTTTGTTTTTATTATTTGAATTTTGTTATCATTTGTTTGTAATTTTCTACCTCTTTCCATTTGTTTGGGTTAGGATTGTGACAATGAGCATTTATGAATATCATAAACTTGTCACTATTTAATTTTAGTATGAATTAAGTGTAGTGTTAATATAAGATCAATCTAAAATAAAACGGAAGTTTTAGTAGAATAGTATTGCAGATGCAAAGGCGAGCAAGGACAGCATTCCTACAATTGAAGAACATATGAGACTCAAAACAACTGTCAACTCACTTCAAAGTGAGAATCTTCAATACGAACGTCAAGACAGTCCTACTGTACGGATCTGAAACGTGGAGAACTACTACGACCATCATCAGGAAGGTACAAGTATTTATAAACAGTTGTTTACGCAAAATACTCAACATCCATTGGCCGGATGCTATCAGCAACGGCGTTTTATGGGAGAGGACAAACCAGCTTCCAGCTGAAGAGGAAATTAGGAAGAGACGTTGGAAGTGGATAAGACATACATTAAGGAAATCACCAATGTGCATTACAGGGCAATCCCTAACTTGGAATCCGGAAGGGAAGCGGAAAATGGGAAGGCCAAAGAACACGTTACGCCGGGGAATCGAGGTAGATATGAAAAGGATAAATGTTAACTGGAAAGAACTGGATAAGAAGGCTCAGGACAGAGTTGGATGGAGAATGCTGGTGAGCGGCCTATGCTCCTCGACGAGGGGTAACAGGCGTAAGTAAAAAGTAAAGTAAGTTCTGACAAATCAAAGATGTCGATCATTACTCTAATATACGTTGAACACTTTCTTACATCATATTTTCGGTGCCGAGTTCGTTTTTCTTCCTTTAATACCTAGTTTAGATATTCGTTATAGAACATAAAGTTCCAGACTCAATACAGATTGAAAAGTAGGAATATAAGCATACTTTGTCCCCTACACAGATTTACGAGGTTGTGACCATGATCTCTCGACTCCTAGAATTGTGTGTGGTCATTGTAACCTTGATATAATTCGTATCAAAACGGATGAACTGATGACAGACCATATTGCTTCAAAGGTGATGGGGCCATTAATGCAATTCCAAAACCTCATAGTGTATAATTTACCAGACAAATCTTCATCGAGCGTAGATTAGAGGCGCACAATACAGTGTGAGTACAAACGCTTTCGTAAGAAAGGGACACAGTCATGTTGTCCGATGGTCTATCAGCTTTCAACTTTTGTTGACAACAATAAGTTCGTTGAAATTCGAGAGACAATCGGAAATAATATGTATCCATTAAGTTTAACTATTCGTCATGATGGAACTTCTTACCAGAGATGGACGTTCAAGGGTTGTCAATCATATCGTACAACATCAGGAGACGTGGAGGAATGCAGCAAAACCAGAAATATATCAGTAGGGTTTCGTAGTCACAGCCCCACAAAAAATGTATATTTTACTCAGAGAGGTAATAAAATAAGTGCTAATCCCATCCCGTTGACGTGTGGAGCAAACCACTAGGACATAGCAGATCGTGACCACCTCTCTAGTGAGGCCATTGAAAGACGAAAGCACATGGCAGATGGATTACATACGCTCGTAAAACTTCTTGATGAATCCTTCTCTTGCACTGATCTAGTAAGTTCGAACACATTTGCGCCCTACCCAGATATCAGAAGCCATCTATATGTCTAGACCATATAAAAGGGACACTCACCATTAAGCTAAAGAGTCGCCAAGAGGAAACCCCCAATCTCCTGTCTACTACAAGTAGCCCTCTATTTATGGAGCCTGTAACTCATCAATCGGTTAGGATAGCAAAAAATATCTCCAGCGCCAATGTTTTGTGATTTCTTTCTTGTCTATTTGTTATCATTGTACTACTTTCATGTGTAATTTGCTGACTTACCGTTAATTTCATCTCATTACTCATTGCCTAATTTATAACCATTATATTTCCACACTTCGACTAATTCTGTAAACATCTATCCCTATTATATCCTTCAATGCGCTTACACTTTATTTAGAAATCCATAAATTATAATATAGTCTTCTAAAGCATTGCATCCATAATTTACACACAGTTCATAATTTGTGACCGCCTGACAAGCTTATAAGATGGTAGTCATAGAAACGGTGTTTTTCAACAGCATGAGAAGCAAGGAGCAACGTGTGAGATATAAAATTTTATTTAAAAATAAGCCTTAATGAGCCCAACATATCAAAAGGATGAAGAGTGGATTTACTGAGCAGCATACGAGGATAGTGAGGGCGATGATTTTAATCCACCTATGTTTGTGGGGTGGAACATTTTTTCCCGGGATTTTTATGATTGAGTGCAAGGCAATCAGTCAGTGATACTGAGGTTGCTCTCCTAAACTCACTACTCAGACTAATGTTTACAATTTTTTTGTTGAATTCGTTATTGTAATAAGTAATCCCACTATAAGCCGACTCAGACTTTTACATTGTGACCTAGTGGCTGGCATTAGATGAAAAAAATTAGAATTAAAAATAGATAACGAAGGACACACTAGTTAGCGTTTCTTAGCACTTCACTTTCTTTTGATGCAATTTATCTACTAACTTTGTTTATTCCATTACAAACTACTAAGAATGACTTAAGGTTTATATCCATGTGCCTTTCTGCCTCACAGTTTCCTATTTTTCAGTGTCACGATCTCGAAACACCGCTATGAAGCTGCTTGCGCCTGAAACAAACCTAACGTACACATTTTTCAAGGTAACAGCCCATACCGAGCGTTTCTTAAATGTATTTTAAAACTAACACAAACTCCTAAAACAGTTGTATAGCATATATAATAAGCATCACAAGAATGCTAATACAATATTGCCGAGTTTAGTCTGACCATTTGTTTCTCATGGTCACAATGTGGACGCGGTGCCATCTTTGAAACATCATAATGTAACGGTAATAAAAACCATTAAATGCAACATTAACAATGTGAGTTTGTATTTCTCACTGCAGGGCAACAAAGAGTGAATGCACTGGAAGAAGAAGAACAGGCCCTACGCGGTCTGAACCTGCAGAATAACGAGTAAAACTATGTTGTAATAACGTTCCCCTTTTGCACTAAAAACCGCGTTTTTCAATTTCAAATATATCTGTTGCGCCAGCAGACCGTGTTCTCACTTCCGAATCACTTGTCTGTCCTGACTGTTGTGTTGGTGTTTCAGGTCGCTCCTGCCCACAAGTAAACGTCGAAATACAACGTGCTACAATAAAAACTGCACTCCTAGTGCAATACGAACTCTCTGGGATATCTACACCAATGTACTGTCTTTTGTTTTCACTGGTGTAATCTATTCATTAACTTTGCTGAAGAAACATCATATCTGCAAACCAATGTTGAAATGATAATTCTGGTTAAGTTACTAGGTCATATGGGATCGTACAATCTGTTGACTGCTGAGCAACATGGGTTTCGAAACAAGCATTCACGCTTGAACAACTTATTGCGAGAGAGGATTGGACAGCAGTCCAAGATAAGGGACTGTCTGTGGATATGATATCCATAGACTTTAGCAAAGCATGTGACATGGTTTCACACTTGGGTCTTATGTGAAAACTCTCGAGCTTCGGAATAATAGGTGCTGTACAGGAATGGATTGCAAACTTCTTATGTGATGGCACACAGAGAGTAAGAGTTAGTGGGACGCTACCCGAATGGAAGCCGGCCCAAAGTGATGTACCCCAACACACCATCTTAGGTCCCCTACTTTCCCTTCGCCACGTTGATGAATTGCCGCTGTTGCTTAAGTTGTCAACATCATTGTTTTCGGATGATGTCAAAACCTGGAAAGCAATCAGAAGTGAGGTTGATCATTTTGATCTTCAAATTGACCTAGACGAATAAGTTAGATGGGCTCGATGTTGCGGCTTAGCGGCTAATTCTAAAATGAGTGTGCTCATGCACATCGGACACAGTAATAGTTACTAGTATACTACTTATGGTATATCTCTTCCATGTGTGCAGGAACATAATGACTTAGGAGTAATAATAAGTCACGACTTGAAAACAAATGCACATCACAACACAGCAGCTGCCGAAGTGTTTCGTGAGCTATAGTCACTTCTAACATTCAGATGCCTTGACCAGATATTCTGGACTTTATATACCACCTATGTAAGACCGCACTTAGAGTACTATATCCAAGCAGCTGGCACATGTCTGATTAAGGATAATAACTCACTTGAGCTTGTTCGACCTGTAGGAACAAAACTAGTGAAGGGTTCTTCTAAACTCCCTTACAGTGTGTTCTTAAAACGCCTAAAACTTTTCCCCTTTGCGTATCATAGAACACGAGGTGACCTTATATTGGCATCTCGTATCTTTAATTACGATATGAGTGTTAATATGTCCTATCTTTTTGACTTTCTGGCAATTATAATCTTTGGGGTTATAGCAAGAAGGTTCAGAAACTGCGATCTAATGGACATAAAGTGAGGTTCCGCTTTTCTCATTGAGTTGTCAATGACTAGAACGCCTTGCATGAACAAGTGGTGTCAGCCACATCAGTAAACGTTTAAAGGAGAATCTGAACTTTAACTGGAAAGCAAAATGTCATGATTAACACATGTCCAACAGACCATTATCCTTATTACTGAATACTAAGAACTGAGGTTTGAAATTTCCAAGAGCGCTATTTCGTATGTGTGAGTTACGTGCCTGCAGTTAGTTGTATCATGGAATCAGCTGAGACAAAGCCAAAGAAATTAAACAAACCAAAAGGTATTCTCGTGAGCTACCAGTTGTTATTCTGCTTCAGACACACCTTTTCACCAGCAACGTCTCAAGTCATGGAGACCGATCCTAACTGCTAGAAATGCGTTTCCAATATTTCTCACTATTGGGTTATTATCTATACCAGTGGGTATAGTTTTACTTACATTCTCTAATAGCGTAAGTTTTTACCTCGTTTCATTACTTTGGTAAGGTCTCAGAAGTTGTTGTGGAGTATACTCACTGCGAAGATACCGTACGCCATACACGATGTTCTGAGTTGGTCAGACTTCCTGATTTCTATAGAACATATAATATATGTTCATGCAAAGTCGAATTTGAACTTGAGGAAGAATTCAAGGTGAGTATTTAATGAATTTGCGTCGTTTAAAATACGAAATAAATTCCACAGTAGGAATGTTTAATGTTTTACTTTCTGTATGTATTACTTACAGTTCCATATGACCCAAAAATGTTCATTTCAAATTGGCATAGTCACTTCAATTTTATGCAACCGTATCAGCTTGATTATCACTTAAATTTAAGAATAATGTTCTTGCCATTCATCGTCACTATGATTTTGTTTATCACCCATGCAACGACAGTAGAATTTTAGTTGACTTATTGCTTCCACCAATGATTTCTTCTACATTTTTGCTAATTAAGGTTTTCCGTTAATTTTGGTGGTGAAACTAATGCCACTATCATTGTTGGGTCGGTAATTTGTGTTGCTAGTACAAGTATAACATGTCTACTAAAGTTGGCACGGGAATTTCATCCTACGTATGCTACTTTTTTTAGTTCACCGCATACGGTTAATGTATCCATACAACAAAATTTGGCTTACATAAATCAGTTCCCCTACGTTACAATGCTACTAATCGGATCATACTCCGGTTGCCGTACGTATCGTTAGCCACAAAGGAACTACGCTACTATTCGTGGTCATGACACTTGGAATACGAACTAAATATATTGTAATAATTTCAATAAAAAATAGCTGTAGAATTTAAAAGACTCTAGCGTTAACGTTGTATGGTTACATTAACGTGATTGTGGACCGTAAAGCATGTCTTAATTGATTTCGGGTACTGTTGATTTTCCGCCATTTGGTGTGACTGGTGTTATTATTATTATTTTTATTTCATTTAAACACATAAATGTTGGTACAAGTAAGCACCAGATACATTTGCGCAGCACAAATCTCATTCGATTTGTGTGAGGGCTGTGATACTGCCCAGGTGCCCAAACTGAAACATGTGGTTTTCTTAGAGGACCACACCCGGAGACTTCGACCTAAAGGTCTAACCCACAAGGCAGTGGAGAAACGTTAGGAGATGCAGTCCCATGGTAGCCGGTGACCAATGATTGATTCATACGTCATTTGTTCCCTCAGGGTACTGGAGCCCATGTGCACCATTGGTTTGGAATGGGGGTTTTCCAACTCTCCTAGGTGGACTTTCCGTGTTCACCGACCTGGTTAAAGCTCCGGACATTCGCTTTTCGTCCTCTCACTTTCGTAAACAACATCCCGCCACAAAAAGACAATGAGTAGGACTTCTCTGGCAGAGGCTATATACCCGTGGCCATGTTAGAGCATTTCAAGAGGGCGGGCGGACTCTTCTCACCCTTGATCGTACCAGGGCATTTGGGGGCACTGGTGTTATTGCACCCCAAGAAGAAACCGCTTAACTATATTGGACTATATTTCTTGCTTAACTACACCCTGTAATTATACTAGATTGTTTTAACATATAATTTATCTATTGGTTCTCCTAAACTTGTTTTCAAAATAACTCAACTCACCAAGCACAGGTTTATGTGCTTAGCTTAGAGCTACACTGATGGCTAGTGATTTATTATAGCTGTTTAAACTCAATGAACTGGGATGGGATTTGCTATTTGAAGTCAAATGATTTTTTCGCCAAGCGTCTCCTCTTTTGGCCTGTAGTTGTTTTCAAGTTGTGCTTATTCAGTTTGCTCAGATGAAATTTAAGGTTAGATTGCCCATTCCTATGTATTAATTTTTAAGCCATTAACTTTTAGTTCTGCCGTTTTATTGTTTTGACCTACTAGTATAACCAAATAGCCATCAACTGTAACTTGAATAACAAGAACTCACTTGGACTACTTCGGTTGTTATATTTAGTATTGTTCGTCTCTTGAATGTTTAACAATCTAATAACTACATACTTAAACATTTTCTTCGATTATTCTTTTGCCACTGACGTGTTAATTATTATATCTGAATCGGTTTTCTATTGTTGAAACTAGTTCATACTGTAGTTTATAAATAACAACAATATGTTCAGCATTACATGTGTAAACAACCGCAATTAAGTAACGTATGATGTTAAAATATTTAGTGCTGACATGAATCATTTGTAAGTAAAACCAATTATTACTAATTGCCGCTTGAGTTTTTCGGTCACATTTCCGAGTTGGTAAGCCATCAGAACAAACCATGTACTTCCACTGTATGGACAGTTGAGAGTGTTCGTAATGTTCAAATTTCTGGAAGAAATCGTTTCCATTCTGTGTAGTCTTTTGTTTCATATATCACAAAGCCCTCTGTTATGTTTTATCACGCTAACTTTGACTACTTCTTGTGATAATTAGGAGTATTTGAATTATGATACAAACTAGGAATCCCACAAATAGCGCAATTTATTCAAAAAGTACTAGATAAGCACGAACGAACGTATTGTATTTTGAATTCAAAACCAAGCAGTCATCAATCACAAAGGAATCATTGGTTCATTCAAACACTACACTCCCCCAAGTGATCCTGATGCTAACTAGCTAAACGCATCTGACATCCCAATTATCACTTCTCATCCAACAACAAGCTACAGTAGACAAATCTAAAACCACTTGTTATAGGTGTATGCTCTGTTCCAGAAACCCAGAAAGGACGAGTTTTTTTGTTCACCTCACCTCAACTCTCCAGTGTTCACATTTAGGCTATTCGGAGATTTTATAGACGTTTTTCCAGTTACCTGTTCCTTGATGTTTACTGTTGTGTCAGGCGGTGTCTAAAATCTGATACTGATGCGGTTTGGTAGGTGCTACCCCCCAACTGAAAACTTAAGCGAGAACACAAGAGTTAGCGAGAAAGTGTATTGTGCTACCAAATAAAGTGCACTAATAATCATTCACATATATGCCACCACTCTAATACTTAGGAAATCGATCCATTTCTTAGCCAATGAAATGAACTTGTCCTTTGGGTCACTTCCGATTGCCATCGATTGACCTCTTCATCAGGCTACTTTTGATTGGTTCTCCATATTAATTACTAATGAGTCAGCTTAGTTAATAGGATTTCTAGAACCCTAGTATCTGCGATCACCAAATATCCAATAGGGTCATAGACAAAATGCTCTAGAAAGAGCAGGTTTATGGTTTAAATAAATATGAGTTAATCAAATCTACACATCTTTTCAGACATTTTAAGTTCATTAAATTTATTGAGTCCTGCTAAAGTAATTATTTTTACCTTATATATAAATTCATTAATCATAAAGTAAATAAATATCGTTGTATGTGATCTTTTTTATCTGAGGGTCAAGTGTATTTTTACTATGGCCTGTCAAATTTCTTCCAAAACCATCGCCGCTATGTCATATCAAAGGATGATTACCAGTTACATGGTTCAGTAGAAACTCCAAAAGCAAGTTGTGAACCGTATCGATTTGATCCGAGTGGAAAAGTCTACGCCCCCTGTGGAGCTATTGCAATGAGTTTATTCAATGGTAATTTTGATACCACTATCCTTCACACTGATAAATTTCCGAAATCTGATGTAATAGTAATTTACAGAAATTTTTTAAATTTGCCGTTTCTTTTGATTGTCAGTATGTAGTAAGTTACTTAGACATCTAAAACACCAACCATCGATAGTGTTTCCGTTCTATAATGTCCAAACATCGAAAAACCTGACACACTTTCTCCTTATTCATTGTATGTTTTCTTACGAATTGTAGTTATCTCTCACAACTAACCGATGATATTATTTATACATCGTTTCATTTGTATATGGCGTGAAGGCTCAGGAGTTAAGGAGTTTGACTTTCGGCTACTAAGTCCCAAGTCCGAACTGTATTCCATCTACTTTATTTTAAGCAATCGAGTAACATCACTACCCCTCACACTAAAAGTGTGACTCATCACCAAGCACCTGACGAAGTAGTAACTCGATAATATAAAATGGAAACAATGTCGCGCTGTTTCAATAAGCGGTTCCGTATAAGTTCGTGGGAATATTATAAACTGTGGCTCACAGTCTTTGCGAACTTGGAAAGAGGTTCATGAATTGCATAATTGAGAGAGTTTAAGGTTTCTATGAAACGGAATTAATAGACAACAAACTATTTAAAGTTTTGCAGACTCGAATATATCATAAGAACGTTCAAAATCACCATTTTAATGGTATGACTTATAATATGCTGCCAAAAACCCACCTTATAAAACTTATCACCAAGATATAGGCAGTTATAAGAAAACGCCTTCTCGTAAGTATATTGTGCACACAAATTGATATGACCTGATCGATAGAGATACCTGTTGGAGATGTGATATTCGTGAGAATTATTATACCTGAGAAAATACCATCAGCGGGTTCCAGGGAATGAAAAAAGGGCACATGGAAGTGACAAGATCTATGTAAATCAAACAGCTGATTGCTTTTTTATTCTCTGTAGAGATAATATCTTTTGGCTAAAGAAATCATGTGCTAAGGTAACATGGTGGTTGGAGGTGGTCAACAGGAAACCCTGGACCCGGGTTTCATGCTACTTGGCACTCGTCGCGGCCCGAATAGCTCAGTGGTAACGTCTCTGACTGTGAAACTGAGTGACACGGGATCGAATCCGCTAGGGAGCATCAGTTCCCTCAAGATTACAGGTACACCTTGCTGACGAGTGCCAAGTAGCACGAAACCCGGGTCCAGGGTTTCCTGTTGACCACCTCCAACCACCATGTTACCTTAATATATATAGTGCACGCAGTGTCGAGCCACCTAGACTGGTGGCCACATTGCAACTTGATTGATAGCATTCGATCAGCACTAAGGACTTGACACGCATGAGATTGAGCACCACCCAGTGATCAATCAATTGTGAAATCATGTGCGTTTATCTGAAGTTACCCACATGTCGCTTGGTTACTAAGATGCTGGAAACAAGTGTTTTGAGGTCGTTGCAGTTTGGGCCTACCAAATGTAGAATACTATAAAAACCATCTGGATTGACTCTTAGTTTTAGATAAGTAAATAATGTGGTTGGGAGAATTAGGAAGTGTGATGGACTAGTTGTCAATGAAACCTCGACAAAGTAGTCGATTCAGTATTCTGCTGACTTATGAGACTACAGCAAAATGTTGGCAAGCGAACAAAAGAGCGAGTATAGTGCTCAACAGTCAAGTTATTTTTACTTTATAGTGGTATGATTCCCCTTAAAAATACCAGAAATGCACAGTTTAGGAGAATTTGACCTTGTATACCGGCATAGGTTTATCCATGTGTAGTGGGACCTCTCGGCAATATATTCTGAGTTCAGGTAAGGAGATTAAAATCCTTTGTAGGATTCTAAGCACTCACTGAATGATGCTAGTAAGCTGTGTCATGCATATCATGTTGCATAGAGTAAAATTTGGTTAGGAAGTTAAGCGTAAGCAGAATAGCGAATGTCATGGACCATTAGTTTTAGCAATATAGAGACGTGTAGACCATCTAGATAGGCCAATGAATATGCTGAAATTTAGTATTTAAAAACCAGACGACATGATTCATTAAGATGTAAATTCGCTCATTGTTGGTTTTTATCTTAACCTTGAATATCTCATTGAACATCACCAATACATTTTTCATGCTGTTGCAAAGCTCAAAAACCCAACTATTATGAGAAAACAAAGCAACCGGTTAATAAACAAAGTAATTGTCCATACACAATCTATCTCTGATTGTTAGTGAAAATCGATTATGTTTAGTGACCAGATATTCTACTGACTGGTCCACAAAATAGCTAATGTATTTTAGTAGAATCATTTATGAAATCGTTCTTTATTTCAGACTCGTTTACTCTAACATATCTTGGAAAAAGCTCCGAACCCCTTGCTAAACCATTACAAGTTCCAATGACCAATAAGGGAATCGCTTGGCGTACTGATGTTGAAGAAAAGTTTGGTAAACCACCAGCTGATTCATGGGCTAACACAGTAAAACCACTTAGTTGGAAAAAGTCAGCTCTTGAACGCTCATCTGGTGCATATAGCGAAGATGAAGAGTTATTAGTATGGATGCGTGTTTCAGCACTACCGACATTTCGTAAATTATATCGTCTAATCACTCATGTCAACGCTTTTTCAAACGGTCTGCCAGCTGGAATTTATAGTGTTAATATTGAGTACTGTGAGTACTGATTTACTTTTACTTATCTCAACGTGACTGATATGTTTTTCGTCAGTTAAATCCTCTCAGTCAAGAGAAATTTAGTTTCATATGCTCAAGGCTACAATTTTTCTTGATTCATCTGATGTAATAGTCTTACTTTATGGTCCTTGTTGATAAGCTGACTGTCTAAATGGCAGCTGGATCTTAGATACGACAGTAATGCTCGGTAGAGTCATATCAAATCCCATATAAGAAGGTTATAGGTCACTCTCTTTATCTTTTGCTTATCTTTTCTGAATTATTGTAATTTTGTGTTGTTTTTGGCCATTTTGCTAACCCATTTTTCTGAAGGATGGTAAGAACAAAACCTTTGGATCCGTAACAAGAGTAATTTCATTAAATTAGAACAAATAAGCTTGAAATGGAAGATGAATTTGTTTTATTTTAAAGCTTCTTACCTGCAAACCGTCTCACATGGCAACGAAATTGTCATAAGTAATACTTATGGATTTATGCATTAAACATACGAATTTATTTATAGTTATAAAATAGTAATTTGACTACGCGTAGAAAACAAAATTTGTCAACTACAATTGAAAACAAGTAATAATGTATATGAGTTAAAAAATGTGATCGTTAAAGGAATGCACAAATGGTTGTAGAAGAAAGAAGCCCTAATAGACTGAAAGATTATATAGTTTCTCTGAGTTATTTAAAAAAAAACTTGCGAGGACAAACCAGTAATATTAATCTGGTAATTGGAAATAAATTAATTGGGTAGTGTAGGTTTTGTCATGTTTTTCTCTTTGGAAAGGTCGAACTAAAGGATTCCTCAAAACTCAATAGAATTGGCATCTTTCGTTCCTTTGGTATTGTAATTGGTTAAGACGTATCTGTTTACTGACCGATGTTCATCGGATGCCTTGGGATCGCACTAGGAAAAGATCTTGTTTCTATTCAAGATCTTAGATTCGGTCGACAGTAGGTAACGCAAAATCTGACATATATGAATTGGCCCGAATTATCACACCACATCAACACACTAAGATGAGTACTAAGTCATAAGTAGTATCAGTTATGATAAAAGCAATTAGGCATAACGAATACGATTCAAGAAGGATGAACTCAGAGTATAAAACATATAATATAACTTTTGCATCCAGGATCTAGAGATGGACAGTGAATAAATCTGCACCGTTGCGACGGATTCTGAGCAACATCATCCAACATATATACGAAATCGTCACAATAATCATTCATATATTCCGTAAAGGATAGTAAACACCCACTCAAACGTTCCAGATCAACAGTCAGTGACTTCATGTACTGATGCCGACTTAAATACCTTCGTTTAACTTTTTTACTTATTACCCTCTCTAAGTCTGTGTAAATTGGGAAATATAGTTACCGGGCACATGAGCATAATACCAGGGTAGGAAGTATATGGTATCGCAAAACGCGACGAACATGATAAGAGGGGAACTTCTCACTAGGTTTTTTTCCTGTCAATCATCTTAGATACATAAAATTACTGGAATACCAGATGAATCAAAATTGGTTTATTCTCAACTGTCAAATATTAGGGATTTTAATATATCCATTGTATTGTTTCATTATAAACTTGTTGGTGTCATTTGTCCATCCCAGACTTAAATCCGTGAAGTCATAATTATTATACTTCACAGTAAAAATTACTCTGAAATAGATCTGGCCACTAATATCAAACAAGGATGATGGTCTGTGGCTAAAGCAAGAACTTAATTCATTAGGCTATGGTTATTGTCTAACATGGATCATAACAACATTTACTTTTGTAGACCCAAGACTTAATAATAACACCATCTCAAGATGTGGTTGATTGATAAATGAACTGAAACACTTTTTAAGAGTAATATTTGCGACTTTTTCTTCGGCAATACAGGCACATGGCACCATAGTAAGCCCAATGAATTTTTTCTATTATTTCTCTACTTGTTGTAATCTAGATATTTAACTCACTATGTAAAATTGTCAGAGTCTGATTGGATGCATGTCTGTATATCAATGTTATCCATCTTTCCATTGGTTGTTTACACAAGCAATCAATAACTTATCTATATTCGATCAACACCCTTAAGCATCATATGAATTTTCTTGACACTCATTTCTTTTTTATGCGTGCTTGCGGATTTTAGTAATTATTAACAGTATACTTTCTTTACAACTGGTGTTCTGGCTTTTGAATATCCTCGAGTAAATTAATAATACTACTAAGGGATTCGGCCCGTTTTAAATACTCAGTTAACGAGGCATTATTTATTTGAGTCAAATAGAGAGGAATTAAATTCTACAGGGTATTGTTAAACAGAATGAAGGACTCCGTAGACGCCCAGCTTCGAGACCAATAGGCTGGGTTCCGTAAGGATCGATCATTTGCAGACCAAATCGCAACTCTACGGATCATCGTGGAACAATCAATTGAATGGGATTCATCACTCTACATCAACTTCATTGACTACGAGAAAGCCTTTGATAGCGTGGACAGGACAACACTATGGAGGATTCTTCGACACTACGGCCTGCCTGCCTGAGAGGATAGTCAATATCGTACGGAATTCCTATGATGGATTAAAATGCAAGATCGTTCATGGAGGACAGTTGACAGACTCGTTCGAGGTAAAGACCGGTGTCATGCAAGGTTTCTTACTCTCACCCTTTCTCTTTCTCCTGGTGATCGTCTGGATTATGAAGACGTCAACATGTGGGGAGAAGAACAGGATACAATGGACAGCTAGGATGCAGCTGGACGATTTAGACTTCGCATACGATCTGGCTCTTCTACCACACACACACACACGCCATCATTCAGAAGACACAAGTGCTTGTTAGCAGTTGTCTACGCATATACTTCGGATCCGTTGGTCAGACACTATCAGCAACAACCTAATGTGGTAGAGAACAAACCAGATTTCAGCGGAGGAAGAAATCAGGAAGAAGCGCTGGAAGTGAACAGAACACACATTGAGGAAATCACCCAACTGCATCACAAGGCAAGCCCTCACATGGAATCCTGAAGGCCAAAGGAAAAGAGGAAGACCAAAGAACAAAGTACGCCGAGAAATGGAGACAGACATGAGAAGAATAAAAAAGTTGGATAGAATTAGGAAGGAAGGCTCATAAAAGAGTGGGTTTGAGAATGCTGGTCGGCGGCTTATGTTCCTTTGGGAGTAACAGGCGTAAGTAAGCTTCTACAGCACTATGTACAGATCATTCCAATAGGTTCATTTATTTTTATATCCATAAGCAACCAGTTAACATTAAACTTTACTACAAAATTTTCAAGTATTTTATTTCTGGCAAGTAAAATCATTTGATTCTGAAGATATATTTTTTATATTTGCGTTTTACAAATTTATCAAAAGATTGCATTCAAGTTCATGTTATTCCCCAGATTTACTTCTGCTTGTTTTTAATGTATATCCAGCTTATCCCGTCACTCAATTTGGTGGCACTAAACGAATTATACTGTCTACTATGAGTTGGTTAGGTGGCCGAAATCCAACATTAGGAATATCCTATATTGTTACGGGCAGTGTGGGTCTTATTTTAGGTCTCATATTTTTCATTCTTCACTTTCATACAATGAAGTAAGTTGATATTTTTTGCGGAAGCTTTTCTTATTTCTCTTTCAAAGATGCTAAGTCTTAAAAAGAAGTGGGTAGTCAATGTTGTCTTACTATTTTTCGTAACAATCTTTACTCGGTTTATTTTTTTCTCAGGCAATCCGAGTTAAAAGCAGAAAAATAAATGTAAGAAATATAGTTTGATGAAAGCGAATGAGAAATATTAAATAACATTAAAACTGAAGGGCAATAAGGAATGCTTACATCTGCACTATTATCATTAGTTTCGAGTTCTTTCACCAACTGAATATAAAAACAGGGAATAATTCAACCTGAAATTTCTTTATTTGGGACGGAAATGAGTACACATGCTAATGGTGCTTGATGGCATTAAATCTATACTTAAGGCAATGCTCGGTAGCATAACATGTTGGATATAAAGAAAGGGGAGGAGATTATTCCTGAATATTCTGTAGTTTCATTAATGTTTTAGGTTTTTTCTTAATCAAATAAGCCTGGTTCCTTTAATACCTACAACACTAGTTAACTGGGTTTGAATTTTGTTGGGTTATTATAAAATGAGTAACCAAACAGTCATGTAATATCAACTTGAAAAGAAATTGCCACGGCACATAATTAGACTAAAACATTTTAAAAGTAAACCATCAAATGTTATACTTGTTAAATCAAATAATATAAACACTAATTAAATAACATTCTTTACTGTTTACTTATTTTTTGTACAGGCATCGATAACCTAGCGCTCGTAAATATCAAACAATTTTTCGTACGAAAACTTGTTAATCATTCCATAAGATGTGAAGTGCCTTTTAGTGATATATTTTGAAGGACCCTTTATGAAGTATTTTTTATTTTTAACTTTTATTTATTGAATTAGTAATATTCACTCCTTTAAAAACAAACATATGAGTTTTTACTTTTAAATGTGATATTTCCCAGATTTTTGGTATAATATACTGTTATTATATATGTGTTTCAATTGGCTTTTTTGTCGGATAATTTGCTATACCGTAGACATACTTTTAAATGTGATATTTCCCAGATTTTTGGTATAATATACTGTTATTATATATGTGTTTCAATTGGCTTTTTTGTCGGATAATTTGCTATACCGTAGACATACATCTTATCTGTGGCTTCTGTTAAACTTAAGTTTAGGTAGTCAATCATCTACAACGTAAGACCACGCACATATATTCATCGCTCCAAGTTGCCACACCGCATTAGCACAATGAGATGAGCGCCGAATTCATAGTAGTTACTTCAATGGTAGTAATATATAAAAAAGATTGTGTATAAGGATATGATACAGGGGGAAAATTAGTTCGAAGAAAGTTGCAAAGTAATTCTAGTCTCACAGTTTAAGGGAAGACAAATAGTGTATACACCTACACCATTGTGATCGATTCTGAGCCATGTCACCCAGATTCTCCAACCACTGGTTACGATAGTCGCGCAGACCTCAACTAAGTAGTCTGCATTTACCAACATGGCTCAGACCAGAAGTTAGTCACTTTATGGACTGATGCTATGTTTCGGTTTGACCGCCTCCAACTTTCTTCCATCCATCCCGAACTGGTCAACATTGCACGCCGTGGTAATCTAGTCTAGCGATCGTTTCTGCTACCTTGACGTGGTGGTCGGGCTTGTCTATCGTGATGATTCAATCGAGCTATGCTGCCTGGAACAATCGTTCCTCAAGGTCCTATCATGCCAGGCAGGTCGTTTGAAGAGCGGTAAGACTAAAAGCAGCAAACCCAAGGTCCGAAGGCGAAGTCGTACTGCTGACTGTACAGAGGTGTGACAGCAGTAAGGTGTTTCCTTCAGACAACCAGCATGACATCGATGCTGCCTTCCCACAAGGAGGGGTTGGGTTAGAAAAGGTCGATCCTAAAAATGCACACCTCGCCTTATCCCACGGATATCCGTCTCCGGCGGTAAGGTCCTTTGAAGAACGGAGCTAACACAAAAACTACCCACAAAAAGGTCGTGTGTGACCGACCTCAAGCAGTTGTCCCTTGGGCACTGCAGTCACGCTCTCAGGTCATCAAGACCACTTCTAACCCAATTTCCTTTTCAGGTACCCCTAGAAGAACCCTTCCACGGTGTGGGCAACCGGGAAGTGATAACTGCCCTCATGCCTCTAACAGCACTCAAGACCACTGTATTCATAATCAATCTCCTTCAATTCCTACTATTCCCTCTACCTTGACTTTCAACACTAAACTTCCTCTTCCGGTTTCCTCCTCAACTGTCACCATGGCCAACGATTCTAGTGCGCGAAACGCTGTCCCAGGTCTACTAAAACCTCGCTCCAAACTACACATGGAGCCTTCAACGTATGTACCCAGAACAGGCACTATTAGAATGGATCCCCGTTAACAGTCGCCTGTGTGCTGTCCGGCTAAATGGCTCCGTAAGAACTCGGAAGGATAGGGACACACGTCGTTGCCTTTTCGTCGTTTCTGCCTACGCTCCCACTGACTGCAGCCATGATGAAGTAAAAGATGACTTTTACAGAAAACTCTCTGAGCTTCTTCAGAAAGCTAAGCGCTCAGACATAGTAGTCGTAGCGGGTGACTTTAATGCCCAGGTAGGCAGCTTAAATCAAAAAGAAAGACATTTAGGTGGGTGTTTTAGTATTCCGGCTCAACGAACCGATAATGGTGATCGTCTGTTGCAACTATGCTCAGACAATCGTTTATTTCTAGCAAGCACTAATTTTAAGCATAAGAAGAGACATCGTCTAACATGGCGGCCACCTGCACCAAACCAACGATGGACTCATATAGACCATATTGTCATCAGTCATCGTTGAAGAGGCTCAATAGAAGATTGTCGCTCGTATTGGAATACTTGTTTAGACTCTGATCATGCTTTAATACGAGCGCGCATTTGTCTGCGCCTCAATGGACGCAGGAAAAGTACACTGAGAAGACCCATTAGGATTGAACTGGAGGACGAGAAAGCCAAATGCGAATTCCAGAAGCAACTGAGTTCACATCTAGGCAGTTCTGTAAACGAGACTGATCCAGATGCTACTTGGAAAGACACACGAACAGCTGTGGAAACGGCAGTCACATCTATTAGTCATTTAAACCATAGGGCTCCAAAAAACCAGTGGATTTCCTCTAAGTCTATTTCACTGATGGATTCGCGTAAACTCATCCCATCAGGCTGTGAACACGACGAAGAGCGTAAACAGATTAGATCTAGGTTAACTAAAAGTCTAAGGAACGATCGTGAGCAGTGGTGGGCAACGAAAGCAAAAGAGATGGAAAAGGCAGCGGCTGTAGGCAACACCAGGCAACTATTCAGACTAATAAAAGAAACCGGAATTAAGAAGTCAAGTGTAAGTGAGACGATCTCGGAAAAAGATGAAACCCTTATCTGCTCTCAACCCAAAAGTTTAGAACGATGGGCGGAACACTTTAAGGAGCAGTTTAGTTGGCCTTCAGCTACTGCACAACTATCCACTATTCCTAGAAAACCTGAATGGAACATTGAAGTAGGCCCCCCGACCCTACACTGAGAAGACCCATTAGGATTGAACTGGAGGACGAGAAAGCCAAATGCGAATTCCAGAAGCAACTGAGTTCACATCTAGGCAGTTCTGTAAACGAGACTGATCCAGATGCTACTTGGAAAGACACACGAACAGCTGTGGAAACGGCAGTCACATCTATTAGTCATTTAAACCGTAGGGCTCCAAAAAACCAGTGGATTTCCTCTAAGTCTATTTCACTATTTCGCGTAAACTCATCCCATCAGGCTCTGAACATGACGAAGAGCGTAAACAAATTAGATCTAGGTTAACTAAAAGCCTAAGGAACGATCGTGAGCAGTGGTGGGCAACGAAAGCAAAAGAGATGGAAAAGGCAGCGGCTGTAGGCAACACCAGGCAACTATTCAGACTAATAAAAGAAACCGGAATTAAGAAGTCAAGTGTGAGTGAGACAATCTCGCAAAAAGACGGAACCCTTATCTGCTCTCAACCTAAACGTTTAGAACGATGGGCGGAACACTTTAAGGAGCAGTTTAGCTGGCCTTCAGCTACTGCACAACTATCCACTATTCCTAGAAAACCTGAATGGAACATTGAAGTAGGCCCCCCGACCCTACTTGAAGTTTAAAAAGCTATAGGTAATCTGAAACGAGGAAGAGCAGATGGATTGGCTCCAGAGGTTTTTAAATACGGTGGTCCAATTTTAGCGATTAGGTTGACTAATATTCTGGCTAAAATCTGGGAGACGGATGTAATCCCATCCGACTGGTCACAATCACTGATTGTCCCAATATATAAAAAGGGGTCAAAATCATCCTGTGATAACCATAGAGGGATTAGTCTGACTAACATAGCATCTAAAATACTAGCCTCAATAATTATCGGGCGCCTAACTAAGACTCGTGAACTGCAAACACGAGAAAATCAGGCTGGCTTCAGACCTGGTCGTGGCTGTATCGACCACATATTCACCATTCGTCAAGTTTTAGAGCACAGACACGCTTATCGGCGTCCGACAATGATAGTTTTTCTTGACTTGAAAGCAGCATTTGACTCTGTAGACCGAGAGGTTCTGTGGCAGTGTCTGTCATTGAAAGGTGTACCTGAGAAGTACATAAACCTTTTGAAGGCTCTTTACTCGAACACTATTAGTCGAGTGAGAGCTTATGGCGAACTGTCATATGATTTTACAACCTCAAGTGGTGTCCGTCAAGGCTGTCCACTATCCCCATTTTTGTTTAACTTCATTATAGACCTGTTGCTGGAAATAACACTCTCGTCGACTGAATTTTCAGGAATTGATCTTGTACCAGGAGGTTCACTTATCGACTTAGAATACGCAGATGACATAGTCCTGTTTGGTGAAGACACTGACAAAATGCAGAGTCTTCTGTTGGAACTGAGTAATAATGCCAGGATGTTTGGCATGCGTTTCTCCCCATCCAAATGTAAATTGTTACTCCAGGACTGGCCTGCGTCAACACCCGAACTAAGGATAGAGAGTGAAGTAGTCGAACGCGTCGACAACTTCACTTATCTTAGAAGTCTGATCAGCCCTAATGGGTTGGTGTCTGACGAAATCTCAGCACGGATTCAAAAAGCTCGTTTGGGTTTTGCCAACTTACGTCACCTATGGCGAAGACGAGATGTCCGTCTATCAATTAAGGGACGAGTATACTGCGCAGCAGTTCGTTCTGTTCTACTTTACGGCTGCGAAACATGGCAATTAAGAGTAGGAGATACTCGTAGGTTACTAGTATTTGACCATAGGTGCCTTAGAAATATTGCTCGCATCTGCTGGGATAACCGGGTAAGTAAAAGTGAGGTTAGACGCAGGGTATTAGGGAATGATGGTAAATCAGTTGATAAGGTCATGAATCTTCATCGACTGAGATGGCTGGGCCGTGTTACGTATGCCTGAACATCGATTACCACGACGAGCAATGTTGACTAGTGTAGGAGATGGTTGGAAGAGAGTTAGGGGTGACCAAACCAAAACATGGCATCAGTGCTTGAAGTCACTAACTTCTAGCTTGATCCATGTTGGTAGATGCAGACTACCTGGTTGGGGTCCGCGTGACTATCGTAACCAATGGTTGGAGACTCTGGGTGACATGGCTCAGAATCGATCACAATGGCGTAGGTGTATACACTCTTTATCTTCCCTTAAACCTTGAGATTAAAATTGCTTCATAACTTTTTTCCTTCCTATACTATATCCTTATATACAACTTTTCTTTATATACTACCACCACTAAATTAATTACTTCTATGCATCCGGTGTTCATCTTGTTGTGCTAACGAGGTATGGCAACTTGGACCGATGCATATATGTGCCTGGTCCTACGTTGTCGCTGACTGACTGATCATTGTTTAAGTTTTTTCACTCCTAATTAAGCACTGAATGCTCTAAATTCTTTCGATCTACATTCGTTAGTTATGGCTCATTACAAATTCCCTCTTGAAGAAATGTTTCTTAGTATGCGTCGCACGTTTGGGCGTACATGTTTCAGCCACCTCAGCCGACAAGAATTTATTGTCTTATCAACTGGTTTCCCCAGTGTTTTTTTTTATCTTTAATATAAATATTGCTCGCTAGTAATGCTTTAAAAATGCCTACGATCAAACAGTTGCAACCTACTCATGTCTAGCGCTACAACCTTTGTGCCAATACAGAGCGAAACGGCACAAAATGTGAGATGGTATAGAAGATTTATAGCTCAGGTAGATGACTTTGGTGGACTTTCGGTTCCTTAGCTGGGAGGTTTAATCGTGAAGCTTTCACTGCTCTTTTCAAAAACATCAGGTGGAGTAGTGAGTGTTAATTTCTCACCGTTCAATTTATTAAGCTATTCTCCATCTCATCAGGGAGTTGATTGATGTTGTTCACAAGAACAATAAAAGCTTCATAATTAAACCCTCCAGCTCAGAAAACGAAATCCTACCACAAAGTTACAATGTATTCATTCTTTGGTTGAAGTACAAGCATTTCGCATGCACTATAGGAATTACTAGTAAGCAATAGCTAAACGAAATTTGGGTGTCCTGTATGACTGTTATGTTAACCAATAACACTGAACCCTTGAACCAGCGATAAATCTGTCCTAGGAGATAAAACGTCTCCCAAAATAATCTGTATTCGGGTTTAAACTATATATTTCCGAATATGAGAACTGATGATGCTATCTGGCTGTTCAACCCAAAGACAAAGCCGGTATTCCGACAGTATATTAGTGCCGTTTGAATGTTATGTTTTCACCGAAGACTTAGCAGATGAAACGCATGGAAATCACGTAACATATTTAGTGGGTGCATAAGAATAATATGAAGAAATACGACAAAACTTGCAACTTTATTAAATAAGTAGTTTCGTAACGAGTTAATCAAGAAGTTTACACATGAATAATCATTATTAGTTCGAGCTTAGTCAAGGGGAATGTAGCTTGACCATATATTCAGAAACGACAGAAGGGAAACTAATCCGGAATATGTTCAATATAAAATTAAACATTGCTTTATGTATATACAGATTGTAGGGTTAAGGAAGTATACAGTAATTCTGACAAACAAAATAAACATCGTAAATATGCATACATAATTGTTATAAGAAATACTGATATAGAATTCCGATTAAAGTACGACCAATGAAATAAATAAGTTAGAATTCCCCTAGTCATCTAGTTCATGCAGTTGGAACCGTTCTTCATCATACAAACGAGCTTGGACAACACGGCCAGCGAAATAGCGTTGATTTAGGGCACAGCAAGCAGCTTTAGCGTCATCTGATCGGTCAAACTGTATAAAGATACGAACATCCTGACTTGTCATTATATGAATCAAAACACGCAGGACAGAACCGTAATTTCCACACTCTTCCATTACTTCCTCTTGAAGTTCGTCGTCCACTTCATTAACGCCTACCATATTCTCAAGCAATAAAACCCTAAAAGTGACAGTAAGCAAACAAGTAATAAGATAAAAAGTAGTTAGACCACTGAGCATAAAAGTATACTGAGTGAGAAGAGTACTATTATGAATCCACTTAAATAAATGAAATTAAATAACTTTTAAATGTAAAGAATACAAAATGTCTCAAACACAATTTAGAAAAATGGAAATATTTACGACAATTCATTTATTGCTTTTTGACTACGAAAATAGCGGACAGGTGTAGACTGCAAATATTTGGACATTAATATCTTCAAGTTGTTATTTATGTGCGACAATGCTGATTTTATGCGTAGTGTGATAAGTTGAGTCGGTTAATAAAAATGTAGACCTCAGTATTAGATGTTTAAGGGTTTATTTAGCCACATCTAACCCTGACATGCTATGTTTGACGGGGTAGAAAATTTCTACGGAAATGCTAGAAGCATCCAGACCAAGATACAGCGCCAGCCTATGAAGCCCTGGATGGTGAGGAGATCGAAGTAGTTGAGAAGTTCGTGTATCTAGGTAGCTATATAAGTGCTGGTGGTGGCGTGAGTGATGAGATTGATGCACGTATAATGAAAGTCAGAGCGGCTTATGCCAATCTGGGCCATCTTTGGCGCCTTCGTGATGTTAGTCTGGCTGTAAAAGGTCGGATCTACAACGCGTCGGTGAGAGCAGTTTTGCTCTATGCTTGTGAAACCTGGCCTCTCCGAGTTGAGGATGTTAGACGTCTCTCTGTGTTCGATCATCGTTGTCTTCGAAGAATTGCTGACATCCAGTGGCAACACCATGATAGTAATGCAGAGGTTCGGCATCGTGTGTTCGGGCGCAGAGACGATAATTCAATTGGTGTCACCATCTTGAAACACCGACTTCGGTGGCTCGGACATGTTTTACGAATGTCGTCCCAGAGACTTCCACGTCGTGCATTATTTGCCGACCCTGGGACTGGTTGGAGAAAGCGGAGAGGAGGTCAGTGTATGACATGGTGTCGTGGCATGAAAGAGAGCTGCAAAGGGCTAGCTTCTGTTGGTCCTTCACGACTCCCTGGTTGGGGTCCGAGAGATAGTGCAACACAGTGGCTAGAGACGTTATCGGATATGGCTCAGAATAGAAGCCAGTGGCGATCCTGCTGCAACTTTCTTTTACTTTCTACATAAAGAATGGTTCTAACTTTCCTAACTGAAAGAATCTTCTGGTTGTACATTTCAGCCCGCCTTATCTTTTCATCCTTTATCTACCTACTTTCATTATTTTGTGTGGCGCATATGTACCTGGTGCCCTTTTGTACCAATATATATGTGTTTAAATAAATAAATAAATAAATAAAGCCTATGAAGCCACTGTCTGTGCGAACCACATTGGAGTTCAGATTTTATGATTTTGAATTTCGAGGTAATCGTAATCTACAATTGTCAACACACTTAATGTAACTTAAGTCAACGAAAGACTTCTACCACTAATGCGTTACGGTTAAACGAACTTCTTTTTTAACAGCTTACAGAAAAGTCAGACCAAGTTTCTTGTCGATAAGTTGATTGCAAATAGTAGAATGTTTACTCAAATAAAAAAGTAGCTAAGAGTGTTAACAAATTGAGCATAAATATTTAGATAAGTCTGAACCTATTTTGCTATAGCAATCTAAGCATATTCGATTTTATTCCATACTCCAGAACTTTGCCGAAAATTTACAGCGGCAAAGTAGGCAAACAGCCACATTACTATGTTGAAGAATAAGCACACATTTTGGAGTTTGTGTTGAGTTGCAGATCAGCTAATATGCTTATAAAATATGACTCAGTAACTGGATAAAAGTGATCCCTACCTAGACATACTAATAGTAAACACGTCTTGAGAGTCTTCGACATCGTTTAGGTGAGCGGTCACTTCAGTGTGCTCCTCGACCTGATCTTCAGTAGAAATTTCAGGAATTTCCTCTGAAGCAGTTGGGACAGGAATCGCCGAGTCGTCATCATCATCCCAGACAGATGCAGTTGTGACGGAAATGACATCTGAATAACACAGAAATCAATGAGTAAGATAAATTTAAGTTCACAAAAATAAATTACATTTCAATTTTATGACAGTAATATGCATAAAACTTCGAAATGATAAAAGCTGAATTAGTCACAGAAATTGAGACGGAGTTACAAAAACAGTCCCGTTGATTGATAAGTTCTACAGTTGCCTCAGGCAGGTTCAGGTCTAGACACGATGCAATAAGTGATACTAAGAAGCCATATAAGATACGTCATTTATACTTGATTTCCCAGATCTATTACACAAAAACATTGTTACGAAGAGTTATATAGTACTTACTTAAATGCATTCAATACAAGATACCTACGAGAAGAGACAGATAAATTGAATCACAGAGACAATTTTTTAAATCAACCTAAGTAGAATCATCGGTTACTTACAAACTCATATGCACAAGTGTAACTGAGTCAATGTGGTCTGATGTATCTGTTGTCTGTCTCCATTGCATGTGACCCGCCAATTGAAGGACATTATTATCCTAATATATTAGTGACTCATAATTTTTATTCATTTCGATAAGACACGCAATGCTGGTCGGTATTTTTGTGCGTCCCACCTAATGACTATAATTCCTTTGATTATTGTACTAATCTAATTGTTTTTACGCTTATAAACAGATAAAGTGTAAAGCTAAGTTGTCCCTGTTTCGACTATGGCTTTTGTTATGAATTTGAAAAAGGGCTCTCGCCAATTGGTTGTGATTTTATGCCCGGCTTTTATCACGTGATTTATTTACCAATCGAAATACGACTTATCCAATCTTAGCAGTGAGCCAAACCAATGACGTTCGACCGGTTTGGGCAGCCTAGCGTCCTTATCGATCCTTCGTCCGCCTAGCCAGTCCAGAACACCAATAACAGCTCTACTATGTGAATCATTTATCTAAAACATATTAGGTTTGTATATATAATATTAGTCAATTAAAAGATCTCAGGAGTTACCCGTAATTTAATCTTCACTAGAATATAACAGCTTTCACATATACTTTGGGGTCACCGGTATCGCGTTTACAGTTGTAGTAGAATATCTGTAGGACAAATTAAATCCTACTTCAGCTATCCCAGAAAAGAATGTTGGGTTTTCGGAGAGTAATAGGTACCAATGCATGTTTGAGGTACTTATTTATTTAAACACATAAACATTGGTACAAGAAGGCACCAAATAGATATGCGCCACATAAATCATTCGATTCGGGTGAGGGATGGGATACTGCTCGGGTGGCCAAACCGAAGCAGGTGGTTTTCTTAGGGGGCCACATCTCTTAAATATCACATTCCTTTTTCCTTTCGGGTTTTCTTTATCTTCTGTATTTTTGATTTAAAGTGTAATAAAAGCTGTAGAAAATACACCATGTAATCCCTATTTTCTGTCTCCTTTATCGGTTGGATAATTTAGAATCTAATGATAGAAAAGTCTTTTGCTCTCAATGCGTAATATTTGTTAATTCAGTTCATTCTCGTGAAGTGATTATCTAATCGGTCACCTTATTCATACCAATATTTTTTTATATCGTCGTAACAGCAGCAATATTTGTCATTCACAAGTAAGATATTAATCCCTCTTCATCATACTTGACAGAGGAGATAAGGAGAAATCATCGTGACTACATGAAGACACAATAAGTCAAGTTACGGATATAAATAAAATGACACAATCAGGAGGCGAACGGAAGGAAGATAAGCAGCATTTTAAAGAAATAACCCAGTACGTCGACTGAATTGAATTATTGAAATACTCTGTTCAATAAACAGGTGAACTGGTTTACTGAGATTGTTAGCCGGGACCAATCAGTCACAATGTAGAACTTCGTACGTACGTACATCAGTTCGAGTTGCCATACCACATTAACACAGAGATGCAGTTGTCGATTCATATCCCATACTGATAGAGGTAGTAAGAGTATAAGCAGTAATCTGAAAGATTAGGGTTTGAAGATGTTATTCAAGGAGTACAATCCAGTGGAATAAATTTGGAGAGAGAAAAAGGATACAGACATGAAGAATTCAGAAGATTAGGATTTGGGAGAACACAAAGAGCGGATGCACCTTCGCCATTGCAAACGATTTTGAGCCATGTCATTTAAGGTCTCTGAATTATCGGTTGTTATCATCTCGCGAATTTCAACCAGGTAGTCTACACCTACCAACATTGCTCAGCCCATTTGTTAGTGACTTCATGGATTTGTGCCACGTTTTGGTCTGGTCGCCCCTAGCTTTCTTCCAACCTACTCCTACACCATAAAACATCGCTAATTAGGGCAGTCGGTGGTTGGGCATACGTAACACGTGTCCCAGACATCTCAACTAATGAAGTTTCACTATGTCATCAATCGATTTGCTATCCTTACCTAGTACCAGTTTTCTAACGACTATATCACTTACTTCGAAGACACCTATGATCGAATACTAGTAGCCTACGAATATCCTCTACTCTTACCTGCCATGTTTCACTGCCATAAAGTAGGACGGAACGAAATGCTGCACAGTAAACCCGTCCTTTGGTTGCTAGACGGATATCTCGCCTACGTCATAAACGACTCAAGTTAGCGAAAGCTAAACGAGCCTTCTGTATCCGTGCTGAGATTTCGTCACACACCAGACCACAAGGGCTGATGAGACTCCCAAGGTAAGTGAAGCGGTCGACAAGCTCAACTACTTCACTCCCTATCATTAACTCGGGTGTTGATGCAACCCAATTCTGAAGTAACATTTTGTACCCCGAGGGAGAGAATCGCATCCCGAACATGCCTGCATAGTTGCTTATAGCGGTCGGAACACTGCACTTTGTCAGCGTCTTCACCAAATAGAACTATGTCATCGGCGTATTCTAAGTCAACATGTGAATCTCCCGGTTAAAGTTCAACCGCTCTACATTTAGGTGGGGAAAGTGTTATTTCTAAAAGCACTTCCACGATAAAGTTAAACAAGAATGGCGAGAGTGGACAGCCCTGACGAACACCACTTGAGGTAATCAAATCTGACGACAATTCGCCATAAGCTCTAACTTGACCAGTTGTGTTCGAGTAGAGAGCCTTTATAAGGTTAATGTACTTCTTTGGTACTCCTTTCAGTGACAAACACTGTCATAGAACCTCACGATCAACAGAATCAAATGCCACCTTAAGGTCGAGAAATACTATGATTGTGGGACGTCTGAATGTGTGTCTGTGTTCTAGGACCTGACGTAGTGTGAACATACGGTTTATACAGAGACGTTCAGGTTGGAAATTAGGCTGGTTTTCTATAGTTTGCTCTTCATGAGCTTTAGTTAGGCGTCGAAGTATTATTGAAGCTAATATTTTAGACACTATATTAGTCAAACTGATCCCTCGGTGATTGTCTCAAGAGGACTTTTGTTCTTTCTTATAGACTGGCACAATCAGTGATTGGGACCAATCAGATGAAATTACGTCTAGTTCCTAGATTCTCCCTAACACCTCAGTAAATTTCGCTGCTAGTACTGGACCACCATCCTTAAAAATCTCAGGGGTAAACCTGTTATGGCCTGTTGCTCTCCCTCGCTTAAGATTTCCTATAGCTTTTTCAACCTCGTAAAGAGTTGGAGGACTTACCCTAACTTGCCATTCAGATCGACTAGGGATCGTGGGAAACCAAAGTGTGACTGAAGAACAGTTGAACTGATTCCTAAAGTGTTCTGCCCATTGATCCAATATCCGGGATCGTGGCGACAGAGATAGTTGGTCAGGAAAACTTACGTTGGAAACATTAGGCATGTGCAGTCATTTAGGCTTTCTGGTTGGTGGATTAACCTCCGTACCCATTAGACGTAGCTCCTCGCGATTGCATGTGTGGAAGATACCGGGATGAGGTGGAAACGACAAAACATGGGACGAGACAGAGCCTGATTTCTGAGGACTTGGAAGGATGTATCGAACAACAGGAAAGAACAGGAGACAAGTGTATTGCAGTAAATGGAGAGTATTCTGAGTAGGGCATGACTGATGTACGCTGAATTTTGTAGAACAAATTTATCAATTACATCAGTTTGAGTACTCAGTGGATAGACCATGTATATCCTTTTGAAGCTTGTCAGCAGAATAGGATACTTGCAATTCTAACTATTATATCTTTTATGTTGCAGAAATAGAGCAAATCAAAATGTTTTCATACAACTAGTTAGTTAATTTTAAATTGGTTGGGACGAAAAAAGTTTTTTTAATGGATTGAAAGTTTCCTTTAATAAAGAATTACCTTCTATTTGCTTTTCTTCCGATGTTGACGTTACATTATCCCCTACAGAAGTAGGAATAAATACACCAGGAGGCGGGAGATTTTGTGCAGCTGCAGCAGGTCCAGAAAATCCAGTGGAGGTTATGGGACGATTTGACTGTTTAGATTCAAGAAGCGTAATCGAAAAATGATTGTGAAAACGGACTATTCAACCAAATCTCAAAATCTAAAGTTATCTATGGGGTAGGCAGAAGCCTGACGAAGACAGTGAACTTTTGTCTTAGCATTTGAGTCCGTCGCCAAACATTTAGAATAAACAAAATTGTGCGTACAAATGAAACTTATTCAACCCCCTCTTCTATAATGGACTTAGCCACAAGTTTTCCGAAGTAATTATCCTCTCTTTATTTCCCTATAGACGTTTTATCTTTAGCTGACTTATTTCGTTTCTGTACTGTCTATGATTAATTTAAATAATACATTCATGACAATAGGGTTAGGATTGAAGGCAAAGTGTAATGGTGTTATTCTGTTATAAAAGTATAATCAACAGTTTAATAATCTGTATGATGTAGCGGACTAGTCAGTCCAATCACGATCAATGTAGAAACTAACAGGAGTATCAGTCGAAGTCTGAGAGTCTTAACTTAATTAGTGACTGAATGACCTACGAAACTAGTACCTTACAAACGCCTATTTTACCAAGAAAAGCGTGTTTGTTGGTCAATTGCATTATTTCTTAAAATCAGTTCATTTAAGGACTTTGATCAATTATTTGGTCTTGTGAGCAGTTATCAGATCAAATTTTATTATTTTACACCAATTATTTATTACCATTCAAATAACTGAAACATGTTTATAATAAATCAAAACCATTTTCTATAACGTCTTAGTTCGCTGTGACCAGAAAAATAAGAGCAACCCCCTCGGACAGCTAAAATTTTTTAATGTTAACCAACTGGTTACAAATGTCCTAATACTCTATAACATATAAGCTTATAACGTCCATTAAAACTCTACTCAAAATGACATAACGAGAGTGAAATGGGACAGGTTCATGTGCTCAGCTTTGAACAATAACTTAAGTATGGTGGTTGGTGACATTACTGAGCGTTTTATTTATTTTATTTAAACACATAAATGTTGGTACAAAGGGCACCAGATACATTTGCGCAGCACAAATCTCATTCGATTTGTGTGAGGGCTGTGATACTGCCCAGGTGCCCAAACTGAAACATGTGGTTTTCTTAGAGGACCACACCCGGAGACTTCGACCTAAAGGTCTAACCCACAAGGCAGTGGAGAAACGTTAGGAGATGCAGTCCCATGGTAGCCGGTGACCAATGATTGATTCATACGCCATTTGTTCCCTCAGGGTACTGGAGCCCATGTGCACCATTGGTTTGGAATGGGGGTTTTCCAACTCTCCTAGGTGGACTTTCCGTGTTCACCGACCTGGTTAAAGCTCCGGACATTCGCTTTTCGTCCTCTCACTTTCGTAAACAACATCCCGCCACAAAAAGACAATGAGTAGGACTTCTCTGGCAGAGGCTATATACCCGTAGCCATGTTAGAGCATTTCAAGAGGGCGGGCGGACTCTTCTCACCCTTGATCGTACCAGGGCATTTGGGGGCTTTACTGAGCTTCCCAAAACCGAAGTGAAGTATGATACAAACTCTGGACCTAGTTAGTCTTTAGCTAGTAGGTTGTGCTTGAACCATACTTGGGTTTTGTAAACTGGGCAATAACATTAGTCTTCACACCTAGTGTGACTGTAAACTGAGTACATAAATTTTCTCATGGTAGTTGAATTACACTACAGTCGAGCCGGATCAACAGCAGGGTTTTTAGAGATTAGAAAAATATATTGGCGGAACAATGCAATACTGACGACCTTAAGCGATCAGATTCAAGATATTGGGTATTGAGTATTAGAGCGAACGCCATTGCCGGTAACTTGCCGCTGAAAATCATGTTTTTGACTAGATTTTATATGAACAGGACTATGATTTTCTTGTGGAACAATGTGTTATGGTCGAGAATTAAAGTTCAAAAGTGTTGGGAGTTAGAGGTTCTATGTATTAGAATTGGGGAGTAGGGCTTAAAAGTGTGAAAGTTAGGAGTTAGTGTTAACGAATGTTAGATTTGGGATGTTGAGGTGCCACTAGTTTCAGTCCAGTATACCAAAATCTAGCTATAAGTTTACTAATTTTGCTAACATTCCGAATCTTTTGTAATTTCATCATTTTTTCAAAACGATTGTTTCACAAAAAGTGCATCCTGATTGGGTTGCTCTTAAAATCTCTCAAGGTTGTCAATATAGGACAGCTTTATCAACATATTTAATGTTCAGTCGACTAAGCATCCTTGGAAAATTGAATCGTAACCACTCAAATGTCAACTGAAAAGGTTCGGTGAACAATGAAGAACACAGAGTACGAAAAATTAGGTAATAGACTAGATAGATGAAAGATTTGTTACCGTGTCACTTAACTTTTATTAGTCAGTAGTGTCCGTGCGTGCGTGTTCGTTTTCGTTTAACAGCAAATCCACTAATTCGAACAATGTATTGATAGAGTCATCGACAACCCACACAGACTTTCGATCACTTTCCCAAACCTCCATTCAGAGCATCGGAAAGCCAGATGAGTGATCACCAGGAATCATTTATTTAGACACAACTTACATGATTGTATGAGTAAAATACAGGACTACAAAGCATCACAAACAAGCTAGGACTTTTTTATGCATAACAGTTCGACAGATTTATGGTTGACTGGTTACAATTTGGAAATAGTATAAGACGGTAACCACTAACGAGTCAAACAACAGTTCATAATTAGGACGAGATAAAAATACCATGAAGAAACTGATTGGCACTCTTCAAAAATATACCACATCTACAGTTTAGCAGATGGAAAATCTCTGTTAAAGTATGCGTGAATTGTGTAAGCAGATATGAAATTGAAAAGTAAAAACAGGGGTTATATCTAATTGAACAATTTTTGTACGACAAACTCCTAGATTAAGAAGCGGATTTTTGGTTTCAGTTTGAGATGAAAATGATTTGCTAAAACTAAAAACCCACTACTTTAAAAACCCTGAAAACAAACAACAGCATAAATTTACAAATGTTCATGTTTTCCATTACCAACTAACATGGATGGCATACTGCATAATAGCTTTTGCACATCATAACACGGGTTTGTGAGAAAACTATCATTGACCATATATTAGTTGGAAATGGTACAGATGCATCTCTTCAATCTGAAAGTAGTGGATATTTTGTTATTCTGTATTTTCCTATTGTTATGATTCCTCTCATTACGATCCAGCTACTTTTATTATTTATCATTCTTGGACACTATTTCACTCAGCCAGTTCCTAAATCAGAACATGGTTGAATAGGGACGTAATTATGTCCCAAAGAACAATGTTGGATGGGAGTAGGAATCACAATAAGAAAAACATTAGCATATTTATAATCTTTACACAAGACCTTAGGGTCTTCTCCAAGTACCTTCTAGCTCTAATTTGTTAAAGCCAAACAGCGTGCTCCAACACAATCCTGCACGGGACATACTTTAATTCAATTTATATCCCGCTAACACTTATCTTTTACAATTATAATAATCATCATATTATCACGTATTTTACATCTATTGACTTCTTAATATGTGGTTGTTTGTTATCTTTTTGGTTGCTTACTTGATTTTGTCTTGCTTTGCTACAATATATTTAATACATTTAATAGCTACATTAGTGTGAAGCATATTATCTCGAACCAATTTCTGTCGGTGGGTGTCGCAAAGAATTTATATTGCTTTGTACCCATGTTCCTAAACGAATTAGTGGATCGATAATGAACAGAATACAGTAAATAATATGAATTCAAATGTCAAAAAGGATGATAATATATAAACTTACTCCATTAAGACTGTTCGAACTAATTTCCTCAGCGGACAGTGTCATAACTTTAGCGGAAATTGATGCGGCTGCAAACGCGACAGCCGAAGTAGATATTGGATTGGTGGAAATTGCATTTAAACTTTTGTTAGCATTAAGTTCGAATGGGAGAGGAACTCCTTTGGGAGTAAGTGCGCGTCCAACACGAAGTTGTTGTCCCGCCAAGTCGAAACAATTCATGCTTGACACGGCAGCGATAGCAGCTTCTTCCGATTCGAAATCAATATAACCGAATCCCCGATGACGACCAGAACATTTAGGATCTGGATACAAGCTGATCGAATAGCGTAGGCAAGAAGTTGCGGAAAATTAACGTCACCAGAATTCTTAACCAGATGGTAGACAGCACCTAATGGCTTGACTATCATAAATTAAAACACGCAGTACGAAAAAGTGCTGGGTTGAAACGATTTTTTCTATTACAGTAAGATGTACACCATAAAGTGTAGGCATAGCTGCTTCAGACCTTATACATATATACACACTTCAGAACTACCTGGTGTTAGATATCTATTAGTTGAAATTTAACGTGAAAAACTCTGTTCGCGTTGTACTTAAGGACTTCAATAGCCACATTTGATGTTAAGAAATGCTACAATAAGTAGCAACACAACACTGGTCGACGTACAAATGGAGAAATACGTTTACTGAACAAGCAATCAACTAGCAAATATGCCACGTCAAATCTGATAGTTATTACAGAATTCTGCAAGGTAAACAGAATGAGAAATTTGTTCAAAAAACTTAGAAAGTGAGTTCGTTTGAACTATAGAAACTGATGGAAGGAGTTACATATATTGGATATGAACGGTGGAGTTTTGATCAAGTATTAAGGTGTATCAGCATTAACAGGCAAACAAGTCACGCGGGGTCTTGAACTAAAGTACACTAGTCAGACCTAGAGATAGATGTTTAAACAATTAACTACCTTAGCAGGATAATCATAGTATCGCGACAGCCAAATTCAAGTCTACGGATGTACTCGAAAAGTAAGTAGCTGTGAATCCAAAATTCCAATTTGATTGAATCTAATCAACATTTGTCTTTTGAAGATTAGATAAAATTCAAGACTTAGATACTTAAGGTATATGTCAAACTTCACAATACTTATGGGAGTTTCACAAGGATGAGTCATTTCTTTAGGTAAACTAATTAGTATCCAGCCCAGTGGTGAAAGCAATTAGTTGATTAAAAAATAGAGACTGAAACATGCAAACAGCTAGGATTAGCCCTACGACTATGGAGTAGTTTGTTGAAGATTACTTTTTAATCAACTTGCGAATAAAATGTCTTGGTACCGAAATTAAACGCTTTTAGTTCACTAGTTCGAGGCTCTATCATTGGAACCAGAAAAACACCCATTTTTCAACAAGGTCTGAAATTGACTTCAAACAAGTTTTTCTTTACTGTTATGTTAACGAGAAGTATTTGTTTAAATGTGTTACATCACACTACCTGCTCACTTAGGTTTTCCTATTCCCAACACTGATCAGACTGAATGGGTGCCTGATTGATTGTCGGGGCAATCAAGGAAATTATAAGATTTGGGAAGAACGCGTGCTGGTTCATGTTGCTAAATCTCAAATCGAAAGGAAATCAACTAAATAAGAAAGAGGTAAATATCAACATTAACATCAATGTAAAACTAATTAAAAATGATTTTTGTATCGAACTGTTACGAAATACATTACATTATTACAGCAAATCCAATGACAAATACACAAGGTGGAAAGTTAGTGCCTAGATTGATCACTTGATCATAGTTTACCTGCAGCTGTTTACTTTCCCAAATGCCTCGAATACAGTTTGAATATCAGACTCGGTTAACTCTGGATGAACTGAAGCAATGTATACACGAGGCTTAGTACTGACTTCTGCACGTAGTTCGGCTTCTAAAGCAGCAGTTTGAGGAGCGTTGCTTGGTCGCCCGACCTGTGATTTATAAAAGTCAGTTAGGAAAAAAAGCACATCTAAGTTACCAATGTTATGACTTGCTAAAATAAGTTAACAGAGCATAGTAATAAAATATATCTTATCTGGCTAGCCGAAATAATGAACAGAAGTGAACACCCCTGAATACATCGAAAACCTGAACAATATAAAATACAGAATTTTGGGTGGAGCTATAATTTATGGACAGCCTTTAGAAGACGCTAAGGTGACCTTGAGGATGTCCACCTGTTAACTAAGACTGAATGAAGGTAATAAACGTGTAAGGAATTGGAATCATGATTTACAGCTGATGGTTAGGGCGAAGAGCTGGATTTAGGGTTTCTATTGCGCATTTTGTACTAAATATTTCTTGACAAACAGGTATGAAATCGATCTACACCATTATGATAAACATATATTGGGAGAAAACGTATTCGTTTTCTCCCAAAGTAGAAACTCAGCAAATCTAGTTTCGTGCAAAAGGAGACGTTTCAGAATACGACCATGAGATGGAGAAAGATACCATCAATGCCCAGACAACACCTACCTTTAGGTTCCTGCCAGCTAGAGTGTATCCATTCATTTGATCTAATGCCAAAGAAGCAGCTTCTGGGACCTCGAACTCAACAAAAGCAAATCCTTTGTGTTTTTGTAGAACTGTATCCCAACTAAGAGCGACAGACTTGATCGGTCCGAATGGTGAAAACGTTTTTCTGATTTCTTCCTCTCCTATTTCAAAACTGATTGACCCAACATATATTCGACTCAAAAGAATAAGTGCCTGGTTCCTTTTAATTGTATTCAAGTCCTTAAACATGAGGGGAATTTGAACAGATAGATACCTGTTGGTGCAGCTGTGCTGCTTGTTTGCTGAGTGCATTCTGAATACTTTGCTCCAAAGCATACTTCTTTGCCCTTTCAATGGCGAAACGCTGATCATCCGTCAGAGTCAACAGTGTGAAAGGTTCTTGTTTAATATTAGTTCCAAAGTGAATAGAATCTCCCATTGGCATAAGACTAATTATACCACCAGACTTCCGTAACGCGGCCGCAACACTCAGATCTACGTTAATCATACCGACGAATGATAGTACGATACGCGCGCCTTTGAGCTAAAGGATTGAAAAAGTTGATAAGATGTGTCCTAACAGCTGTCCAATTAGCAATCTCGATAAATCATGACCTCAGATTACTTGTTACCAAAACAACGAAAATAATCTATTTTCTTGTTTTTTTCATTGATATTCAGCAATGAACTTTGTTTTGCATCACAATTTATATATCTTGGTATATAGAAAGGCTTCGACCGTTAGATGAACGGGCGGTATGTCAGACCCAATATCTAATATCTTAGAAACAAGCCTGTGTTAATCAAACGATTCCATTGTGCATAATTTTTGGTTTCACAGTACAATCCCAGGTCTTTAGTTTCTTTTCTTACCGGAAAATAAGTCCCAAAAATAAATGGTTCTGTATGTCTTCGACATTAATTTTGACCTCATTAGTTTTAGTGGACACGCCCAAGTTGGAGGTGATTGGTCGTGCAACCACACCAGATCTCGAGTGAGTGTGCCGTACTTCGCATCCTTTGCAACTAGCGGCCAGCTTAGACCAGACGTTTCTCGATACATCGATAGCTTTCCAAACATATCTTCGAGACTTTTCGTTTATGACTTCTGAATTGGCTCTATTATCACACTTCGATTATAAAGGCGATACGTGTAAAGGCGTTATCAAACTCCGAATACCTGTGGGGTCTTCAGTCTTGTTTGGATATGCAGCTGTGGATAAATCTACACCCTAGCTGAAAGCTCTCGTTCACCCATCAGCACTAGATCATAAGTGGGTACTCTATGTTACTCGTCCCCTTCAACAACTAGTCAGCTCTACTCATATGCTCCTCGACATATCAGCTATCTTCTAAGTGTATCTTCGAACTCCTTTATCTCTGACATCTAGTTTGAACCAGTTTGGGGTCTCCCTACTATGGATGTTTTACGGACAGCAGCGCTGTTAAGACCTGAATATCTGTGAAATACTTAGATGGTTTAACGATGCGGCTGCACTTCCAGTGAAATTGACTGTTGATTAGAGGCTATCACTTTTTTTGATTATAAATTAACGAATTAGCCTTAGGTATGCGGGATTGCTAGGGTCAGAAACTTTTATACTATAGGACGGGAGATTATTTAGTCACAATATAAAGTTTTATGAGGTTGATGGTGAGGATGGGTAAAGGAATGGTTCATGCATATCATGTAAACGGGTAAAGATCTAAAGATAGGAGATAGACGAAGGTGATAGGGGGTGATGTTAACGGAGATGGTCTAGTAATGATAATGATAACAATAGTAGTTATGGTGTTAGTAATCGTAAGTTGCGAGATGTGTATCAGGTACAACTACTTCAGGCGAGGGACGATAAGCTATGGATGAGTATGTGGTTGACAAATTTTCTCTTACAGCTAACAATTGAGGAAGTTGTGGTCACTTTGGATGGTAGGGCATTTCAAGTGAGTACTAGCTGTTGGATGATCAGTTCATTGTGGTTTACCTCATGAGGTGAAACGTTAAACTTTGGGTAGGATACTTTTACTGAGATGGCCTGAATAGCTCGATATTTTTCATACCATTATCAGGTTAACTTACCTCTGTAGGTCAGCGGGAACAATAACAAATGATAAATCCGGTCTTCGCATGGTTTACGTCCTAATCTTGTGACCCATTTAGCTTCACTTCTATGTGCTTGCTAAGAGAAATCTACATTTGTTTACTGGAGGTGAGTGTAGTAGTACTACGAGAAAAATCTTGTTTCAATCCTTTATGATTTCTGGACTTGTCCATTATTAGCTCAGGTTCGCCTGATGCTAAATATGCCCCAAGTATTCTAAGTTTGACAGCACCTTAACCAGAAACACCTATAATTGAATAGTTGTGATCATGAGTTAATTGAAGCTAGATCATGGAAACACTGGACGACCGTTTCGTCCCACTGGGGGACTTCTCGGCACTGCACATCCACGATGCCGTCTCACGAGATTCCAACCCACGATTCATCGGTCTCGCGCACGAACGCTTAAACTCTAGATCACTGAGTGGGAGTCCAACGGTGTTAATGTTTAACTTTAACTGATCCACGAAATTCAGCAATCATTCACCATTGTCTTCAGTGAGTAACCACCTCACAACAGACCCAGTTGAACTACACTAGTCTCTGCTTCTCACTAGAAACGGACGTACAGTGCTTCCAGGTTTTCCGCGGTGGTCTAGCTTCAATTGACTAATGATGTCAATTAATAAAATTACTATAATATCCACAAAAATCCCTTCTAATATTAATTTTGTATTGTTAGCAGATGTCAACCTGTTATATCCGACTGAAGATCGAATTATGGGTAACTTCTGAGGAATCTTCATGGAGTAATGTCATACACATATTCTTCTTATTTAACTGTTAAGAAACGAAACTATATTCCCCTTATTATATGCATATATTTGACCTGCAGGTTACTGCTTTAGGATTTACTATTCTCAAGTTATTCCCAATCTACTAGTTATAGTTTTTTACAACCACAGTCGTTTTTTGGCTTGAACGTGTTATTTTATATTTTATGCTGTGATGTGGTCTGATCTATTTGTTTATAAACTCAGTATGTTTGAAATAAACTATTCGTATAATGGAAGCTGTTATTGGCGTTCTGGGCTCAACAGGCAGGGCTATGCAGGGAAAGGAGAAATAGGAACACCAGGCTGCTCGTACCGGTTAATAAGTCATTATTTTTGCAGTTTTAAGATTGTAAGAGTCGTATTGTGACTGGTGAATAAATCACATGACATTTTACAGGCCACAAGTCATAACACAACTAAAGTCGCTTAGTAGGTTCACATATGCATAAAAAGACATTACCGTAAATTAAAGTAAAACATGATGAGGATCTAATTAAAAACAGTTTTGTTCGCTTATATAAATTGTTCAAATCTCCAATTGTCGTAGTTACCCCTGGACTTTTGATGGTAACTACTAGCTGTTTTCTGAACAAAATAATTGTTCCTGTGTCTCCCTGCGCAAGATGTGAGAAGCGTTTAGGTCTCCTTCTATGAGCAATTGATTATGCCTCCGTCATGGCAATACTGACGGCAATTACAGTATCTGTTTTATGCGTGCATCGTCGCCTGTGCACTGATTACATATTTATTCAACTTGTAGATCACCAACGTAGATGATCCATGTCGAATGATTGGGGGCCTACTAGAATTAGACGGTAATGGTGTAATCAAAGTTAACTTTAAAGTCACACCTCGTAGTCAGCACCTGATGTCGTTAACTCTTTTGTCGTATAGAGATACTATTGCTACTCTGAAGACCGTATAACACAAAGGACGTCATTACAGAAAGATATTAGTTAAAGTAGGTACAAGCGAATGTGTGACTTCTACCTCATGTTCCATTCCATGAAGAACGATTAGCTGATGCGCGTTGGTTGTTCTTGACCTTGCCGGGGACTGATGTACTGTTCGGTATTCAATCACCCAACTGCTGGATAATTTGGCTAGGGCTCAGTGACATCTCACTGGCCCTATAAACCAAACACCCGCTGACATTAAAGCTAGAGGAGCATCATATGAACTAGTGTTTTCCAGTCATCTCAAGACTATTTGCCATTGTGGTTTTGTTATATCCCTTGGTGAATCATGAATGGTAAATCTGAGGTCTATTATGGACAAAGGTAATATGCCTAATTCCTATTGTATAGTTGTTAAATAACTGACCTAATTGTATTCGTGTTCCTCTTACCGTAACCTTATTTTGACCTTTGAACTATTATTATTGATTACTTTCCCCCTATCCACAGCCACATTGGCCAATTATTGTACAAATATTATTTTTCTATTTTTTGGTATATGGGGTCTGTTTGGTTAGTATATAAACCCAGTATGCTTGTGAATAATGATTCATATTACCGAGGCTGTTATTTGTGTTCTGGACTCAACTGGCTGGGTTAGGCAGATCGCAGGATCGGTTAGCACTCTAGTCTGCTCGTTCGGGTTTCGAGTCACTGCTCCAGTCGATAATTCGCTGCTCTCTAATTGACGGTCTCATCACCTCACCCATCAACTAATAATCCACTCGGCCACAGATATAACAGGTTTTAAGGTGGTTGTTGACGTAGATTGCCACTTGACTTTTTGCTTCGTGTTTCCTGTCGTATTTCAAGAGTTTGGTGCACCATGTACTCCCTGTATCGTTTTTGATGTCAGAAGTTAGCCAGGTTTTATTTCAAACCATAAACTCTTATCCAAACTAGGAACATTTGTTTCTGAGTTTACTTATCTTACTCCCAAGAGTCTTAACTGTCAAGACAGCTGCTTGGCCATTTACATGTGGGTCGTTGTAGGCACACACAATAGGACTGGTTTATACCGTATTGGCCATCTCAATAAGGGTTGATCAAAGGGAGTTTTATTTCTGTACAACAGCAACAGTCTCTGTGGTTTTGCACTCTATGCTTTTGACCAGGATTCACTGTTTTAAGTGTAGTGAGACTATTTTGTGGTTTGTGCGGTTATTCTGTTTGAACATTTAAAGTTCGCCTAGCTGTTAGTTTCAAATAGTTTGAGAGCATTCCTCTACATTTTGCTCCAACACAACTCCGTATATGGGTAGTTTGCATTTAACAGCAGTTGACTCACGAAATAAACGGCTGAATTCGGTCCTTATGATACTAAACAAAGGCCTCACTATTATTTGTCCAAGGCTTTCTTGCTCCCAAGTAGTCCTTGATCAGTCATAGGCACATTAAAAACTTCCAGACTTGGGCTTAGCATTTAATACTTTGCTCCTAATCTTGACTCATTGTTTGTTATCTGCATATTGTTGCTCTGCCATACAACTACCCGACATCGTTCAGTAATGATGGCTGATGAAAATAACAACTGAATGTAGGACGATTCAGCATGTAAATTGTTCTATTCGCTACACGGTCTCAGCGTGTTTTCCTGTATTGACTTTCATTCCCAAGTGTCTTGCGTTATAAGTTTTTTCTACAGGGGTTAGTGCCTTTTTTGAGTGTAAGACCCTGTATTTCGAAGAATGATTGAGCGTAGTCTTGCCTTTCTTTAATTCGATGCGTTGGTTCGCCTCACTAAGTG